GACGGTTACTGCTGTTAAAGGTAGTATAATTACTCGCTGTTGTTCTAGTGTTACAACGTGTACAAATGATGTTACACCGTGTGAGACGGTTACTGCTGTTAAAGGTAGTATAATTACTCGTTGTTGTTCTAGTGTTACAACGTGTACAAATGATGTTACACCTTGTGCAAAATGCACACAAGCTTCCGGAGTGCAACCGTTCCGGTCCCAGGTCCATAATTAGTTATGCATCTCTATATCGCCAAAATCTCTGATAATTAGTTATAACGTTCTTTTTATTACACTTTTACACCCTCAGCTTCTAAATTAATATCATATGCCTATTTATTTCTATTTTTATCTTCTAAAATTCACTAATCATTTTAGGCTTTGGGTAAAAGTGGAACAAAAATAAAGTCTCTCTCCTACAATTCATTTTTTACTACCATTTTCAAATAGAGGGGCTAACAAGATACCAAAGTTGTCATTTCAGGGGTGCTAAGTATGATTTCAAAAACATGGAGGGTGCTAGATGTGATTAGAAGAAACCTCAAGGGAGGTTTCTGATATTAACCCTTGGGATAATTTCAGAAACCTACCTTGAGATTTCTGACAATATCACTAGCCTCCAAGTTTGTGAAATTACACAAATCTCCCGTGAGATTAAGATTTTGATAACAAATTAGTCCAATTAGAAAAAGTAACGTTAAAAAAATACTTTATGGAGAGAGATGAAACTTTGATTCGATAAATACCACTTATGCATGTATATAAGTTGTATTAGTAAAAAAATAAAAATATATAAAAGTTAGAAATAATTGATACACATATTTCATCACTCAAAAAATTCACATTTAATAAATTAAATAATAAAAATAAGCAATAAAACTAAACTAATGATCACAAGATTCAATAAAATGGATTAGTCATATCTTTTAACATGATGTTTGCTATGATTCTTGTGATTTTAAATAGAAATTTTTTTAAATTTGCCTTTCTTTCCCCTCTTTCATTAGGTATAGTATATCAATTAATGTTATTTTGTAAATACAAGTCATCACTCATCATTAAAAAAAATTTAATAGTTACATTTTGTTAATTAGTGCTCTAATTACTTGATTATTAGATATTAGTAAAGGAGAATGGAGGGAAAAGAAAGGTAAAATTTTAAAAAAAAATTCTGTTCAAAATCATAAAAATCATAGCAAATATCATGTTAAAAAAGATAACTAATCTAAATGTAAACTTTTTGAGTGATAAAATGTGTGCATTAATTATTTCTAACTTTTAATTATTTTTACTTTTTTTAATAAAATATAACTTATATACATGCATAAGGGGTATTTATGGAATCAAAGTTTCATCTCTCTCTTTAAAATACTTTTTAAATGTTACTTTTTTTTAACTGGACTAATTTGTTATCAAAATCCTAATCTCATGGGAGGTTTGTGTGATTTAACAAACTTCAGAGAAGGATAGTGATATTGTCAGAAACCTCAGGGTAGGTTTCTGAAATTATAATACATTTTTTGTTGTCTTTTTTAGCTAGGTGGAGAACACTGAGTTTACAAGTGGACGGTGTGCACAGCGCCAAGTAATCAGAGAGCATCTGTTTTTTATCATACAGATGGATTATTTTTAAAAAATTTTACAATAGTTATGTATATGAAAATTTTTTATTTTAGATGTTTTTTGGATTATTTTTAGAGGTATTTTTAAAATATATTTTGAAATATTTTAATAATTATAACTTTTTTGAGGCATTTTTTAAAAAATTTTACATCATCCATCGCCACCACTACTCTCCCTCCTCCTCCCCCCTCTCTCCCTCGGCTATAAAAGTTTTGATAGTCGATACTTATCAGCGTGCTAAAAAAAATCTCTTTTCTATACTTAAGAACCTATTTTTAATTAAAATCACAATAAATTTTTAATATAGATTGTTAAGTGCCAAAAAAGAGTAATTTTTTGTATCATTGAGTGGTGTTGAAATGCAAAAAATTATTACTCATTATTTTTATCGTAAATTTTTTATGGTAAAAAAAAAAACATGATTGCAAAGGATTCTAGCATTATGAATTTATCTAAACTCGTACCCCTTGGCTAGTCCAGGTTACCCCACCTCTAGTGACCTCAAAATTTTGCTAATTGAGATAAATTTTCAAATACATGTTATTGAAAATTAAAACATCTCATAGAGAAGATATATTCACATTTTTCCGCTCTATTTTTATAAGTGATCCTTATTGTGTTCCTTTCAAATCAATTATCAACACTTGATCCTATGAATATTTTCTAACTCACAAAGTCTGCTCCATTTGAATTTGTTATTTTTTAGAGTGTTTTTGAAATATTTTACTGTAATAGTGTATATGAAAAACTTTTGATTATAGATCTTGTGATGTTTTTTGAGGTTTTTTGGGATATATTTTGAGATATTTTTAAGGCTCACTAATTTTTGTGATATTTTTTAAAAATTACCACCACTCATCATTGCTACCACTTACTCCTCCTTCTCTTTCTTCTTACTCCTCCCTTCTCCCCCCTTTTCCTTCCATTTTCTTCCATCTCTTTCCTTCTCATTTTTTCCCCCTTTCCACTCCTCCCCTCCCTTTCCCCGCCATTCCTTACCCCTCCCTTTCTTCCCCCTCTAGATCTAGCCAAAACCAAATCAATACCTTTAGTTATGACATCACGACCAGATTGCAATCCTTTTGGTCACGATCTAGCCAAGGCTAGATTTTGGAAAGAGGGGGAAGAGGAGAGGTGGGATGTGGCAGGAAAGGGAGGAGGAAGAGAGAGGGAAAGGAAAGAGGAGCAATAAGGGAATGGTGACGATGGGTTATGGTGATAGATGGAAGAAAAAAGTATATATTTTTATTTTTTTATGTATTTGGAGTTATTTTTTATATATTGTATGGATATAGTATTTTTTTGAGTTATTTTCGTTTATATATATTATCATAACATTGTATATGAAAATTTTATTTTTTCAAAAAATGAGAAATCCAAACAAAGCCATTGATATTGGGATTATTAAAGAGGGTTCAATATTGATTTTGACTTGAGTTTTTTTGCCAAATTGAATAAGTGACCAGACAATTGAAATGCCCAAACCCTAAACGCAAAGATGAGCTTTAGAGATCCAACTCTAGTAATGGTTCTATACAAATTTAGATAGAGAAATTGTTACTGTTTGGAACAAACAATCCACATAATTGTTTTCATTGCCATCCCGCTCCTAATGAGATGGGTTTTTATTCTTTCCAGAAATTGATCCAACAAAAAAGTTGTATCTCAACATAATTTCACAAAGAAAACCAACTAAAAATGTTTTAAGCTGATTGAGATAGATTTAATTACTATCGATAGTAATTGTACAGATACTACCAGGCCTACAATTTGATCATTTAAATAAGTATGTGCAATACAATTCAAAGAGGTTCTGCAAAAAGAGGGATGAGTGTGGAGCAGTGGGATTTGTCAGCCAAGACTCACTCGTCATTGGTGGCGGTGGCGGTCAAGGTGGCCGCGGGCCCATGGAGAAAATAAGAGAAACGATTTAGGGATAATTTCAGAAAACTTCATTAAGGTTTTTGACTATTTCATTTAGTTTTTGTTTTTGAAAATTTTAAAATTACACTTACCTGTCTTGATTTGACACTTTGGTAACCAAACCTTACCTGTTTTCTGAAATTATCCCAACAATTTAAAATTTAACATTAAAGTTGTCTAATTTTTTTTTGGATGAATTACTTTCTACCCCCTTATGATTTGATATTTTACCATAACACCTTTATGGTTTAAAAACTTATCTTACAATATAATAAAACTTTATTTTACAATACAATAAAACATGAGTAGGGTTTTGTGTTAACAAAAAGTGCTAACATTACCCATTAAAAAAATACCATTATAATATTTACCATTATCTCTACACATCTTATCTGGAAAACCTCCCATTTCTACATAACTACCACTACACAACTATCACTAAACTTTTATCGATTAACTAATCTACTAATGAATATTACATCACCTCCCAAAAATCTTTATAACTAATTTTTTATTCTATATCTTTTTTATTATTTGCTTTTTTCTAAAATATATACACATATAATGTGTGCCACACCCACTAGTAGATATAATCCCTCATAGTTTGGATTAAGGTGTCACTATTAGTTTTTTTGTTAAAATTAATGGTCAATATTAATAATTAAAAATCAAACTAATAAATTGACAAATTAATTCTTTCATTTCTTTTTTCTTTTTTTCATTTTCTTTCTCTTTCTTCTTTTTTTTGGAAGAGAAGAGATGATTTTAAACCAAATCCTTATTGGCATTTTCTACTTCTTATTTATCTACTTTCTATTTCAATTCCTTCTTTTTTTATTTATATATTTGGAGGAAAAAAAAGAAGTAACAAAAGGGTAAATTTGTCAATCTATTAGTTTGCCTTTGCCTTTTTATTATTAATCGTTAGTTTTAATGAAAAAAATTAGTTGTAACAGATTAAACCAAATTATGAGGAAGTTATATACAGATTTTTAAATTATAAGGGTTATATGAAAAAATATCAAATTACTGGAAAATAAAAGGTAATTACTTTTTTTTTCCCTTCCATCCCTTCCTATTCCTAACTATCAAGTACAGAATTCGAATTTTACACTTGACAACGAGCTCAATTTTCGCTATTCAAATAAGAGGATGCTCCCAAGTTACTCCATATTATCCCAAGCTATTCCCATCAAATAAGAGAATACTCGAAATATTTCGCTATTCAATGATTGAATCAGATACATGTATTTAGTTGGTGGATTTAATTGAGTAAAAAGGTCTATGTAATTTTCCCAATGTTGTGTAACGTGGTATGTACATTGCAGATAGTCTCTCTTCTGGTGCGAGTGTCCCTTTCTGATGTGAGAACCAAATGCCAGGAAAGCATTTAGATTCCCAGAAACCCCGACTGGCTAAGTATAAGCGTGCTGTTGTTTATATGCTCAGAAATAGCTAGTAAATTATGTACGGTATTGTCACAAACAAGAAACATGGAAAAAAAGAAGTCGGCTCAGCCTACAACATTATTGTCAATGAGTCACAGGCCAAACAGGAATTCCCCGTAACTAAAAAGACTCATCGGTATCACCGACCCTGTGCTTCCTCATAGAGGCCGCAGCAGCCCAAAAACTTCACTGCTTTACTGCAGCGGCAGAGGATTGTAGTGGTTACTTGGCGAAGACAAAGACAAGAAGAGCGAGAAGAGACTGAGCGAAGACTTTTCTGTTTTGGCGCCCTTTCCTCGAACCCACTTTGCCAAAACCCCTCCAGATTCCCCCCCGACCACACACTACTTTTCCCCCAAATCCCCCCATCTTCTTCGTCTTCGGTTCCCGACAACCATACCCACCACTCCCCCTTCCCTTTTCCCCTGTTTATTTTTCTCGCTTTCGCACATATATGTGAAGTCTACTCAGATATTGGAAGCAATTATCACTCGGAGGAAATGGCTACCGAGCAACAGTTATCGGCCATTAAGGTAATAATTTGTGAGTTGACTGCATGTCTTCTGCAGTTTTTTTTTTCTTTTTTTTTTTTAAAAGGAAACAGTTGGCTGAAGGCTTGATTTTGGTGTTTGATAAAGATTTTTGTATGGTGTGGTTTAGGGCTCAAAAGTGCTGATGGTGGGTGCCGGTGGAATAGGCTGTGAGCTTCTCAAAACTCTTGCTCTTTCTGAATTTCAAGACATCCATATTGTGAGTGCAATTCTACCCTATAATTGTGAAAGTTTTTTGTTTTTAAATTTTTCTTCCAGCCCATTTCCATATTTTTAGGGTTTTTTTTCTATATGTGGTTATTTAGTTGCTTATTTGTCTGTACTTCTGCTATTTTCATAATTTTGGATTAGAGAACTGCAATATAGAGTCCAAACGGTTGTTCAAGGAAAAGGGGACTGGATATTTTTTATATTCTTTTTAGTATGGTGTTGTGGAGCAACCCCGTTTGGAAGGTTTGCTAGCACGGAGAAACTGGAGTGTATGCCACGTCTAGTGTTGGAAATTAGAAAAAAAGAACTTATATTGAGCATGGAGTAACACTTCGAAAACAGGATGTGTAGTTTTATAAAAAGAGTTGGTGTTTTTATTCTCGCTCAAGGGCCTCAAAAGCAACATTTTTGTGAATTTTGAAGTATCACAATGTGATCTCAGAAGGGACTTGCAAATTGATCTTTGCATGGGTGATGCAGCATGGATGCACGTAAGGGGTTGAATTTCTAAGTCTTTTGTCAATAGATTTTGTGAGACGGAACTGATCGATCAATTAAGTGTCGTCATTTTTAAGCTACATGAATACTTAGAAGTACATTTGATTTGGAGAAAACAATTTTATTGCGTCATAACTATATTGGGGCAGTACAGTTCACCGGTAAGTGCTGCGCCTTCGGCAATGTTCAAATAATACTGATTCGATTCTAGCTCTCTTTGTATGATTTGAATAGTTTATTGGCATCTGTTAGGTTTCTCATGATCTTCCATATTGGTGTTTTTGTTGAAATATTGTTTTTGAGAAATTATTTAATTGTTTAAGTTTATGTTCTCTAGACCCGATCATATCTATGTTGTTCTGCTGTTGACTATATTTTTTCATACTGCTGTATCATGCATTTCCAGTCCCTTTTTTTTTTCTTTCAAAAACTAATTGTAGCCATCATTTTCTAGTTACTCCTTATCAAGTTTAACAGGCTTTACTTGTGGAGAAAATTGTAGTAGTTGTTCATTGGATTACATGTTAATTTTGAATTGATTTAGCGTTTCTGCGATGTGATGTCAAATTTATGCTTTAATGGACTGATCATGAATGTTGAATTTAGAATGCTGTTTAATGTATGTCAAATATCTTCTCAAGCTTTAACTGTGGCATGCATTGAGTTGCAGATTGACATGGACACCATTGAAGTGAGTAACCTAAACAGACAATTCTTATTTCGGCAATCACATGTTGGGCAATCTAAAGCCAAAGTGAGTGGTGACTACCAGCTCATTCTCTCTCCGTCTACACACACACTCATATATATGTGATCTGTCTGTCTCTCTCTCTCTCACAAGCACACAAATACACTGAGCACAGAGACAGACACACACAGACACAGACACACACACACACATGGATGCTAGCTGTTTATTATCACGGCCATGTATAGCTCCTAATCATATTTGAATTTCAACCTAGGTTGCTCGTGATGCTGTTTTAAAGTTTAGGCCTAATATTAGCATTACCCCATACCATGCAAACGTTAAAGACCCTGATTTCAATGTGGATTTCTTCAAGCGATTCAGTGTTGTTCTGAATGGGCTCGATAATTTGGATGCTAGGCGACATGTGAATCGTCTTTGCCTGGCTGCTGGGGTTCCGTTGGTTGAGAGTGGGACTACTGGGTTCCTAGGGCAGGTAATGTTATATCCTTTTTGGATGGCACTCATCTTCATCCAATGTTTCTGATCATTGTTATCCCCTTCCTCTTTGGTATAATGCCCTTGCGGATCTACAGACACGCATGGTCACAATCCCTTTCAAATGTTTCTCTGCAACTTCCTTTTCCAAATTTTCCTACTTTATGTTGACTATCTGCTATTAGCATTTAATCTTACAAATATTGTACCTTTTCCCTGTCAGAAAAGGCTGGCTGCGTTCTACATTCTGCATTTATACTGCTGCATTATATGTTGATTTTTTTAATCTCATTTGATTCAGGTAAATGTACGTGGTAAGGATAGAACAGAATGTTATGAATGCTAGCCTAAATCAGCTCCTAAAACTTGTCCAGTCTGTACCATTTCTGCACTTTATGCTGATTTTTTTTTTTCAAATCTGATTTGATTCAGGTAACTGTACATGTGAAGGGTAGAACAGAATGTTATGAATGCCAGCCTAAACCAGCTCCTAAGACTTATCCTGTCTGTACTATTACAAGTACTCCATCAAAGGTAATTTTTGTTGGTCTTCCTGTCTCTTTTATCCTTACTTCTCATTTTGTATCTGTTATTCCACTAGTAAACTCCAGTTCAGTATAGACTTGTTTTTACAGTGGTTTCTGGTCTGCAAACAATTGTGTATCTGAGGCTCTGTAGTTGCTGGTTTCCACTTTTGTTGAAGTTTTCTGTTAAACAATGCTGTCATCTAGCACTTGATTAAATTTTAGCAGGTTTTGATTGCTTACTGTGGAATGTGATTACTTTAGATGCAAGACAGATTATAGATTACTTTTTTCTGTTCTCTCTTGCTCATAGAAACTCTGGTGTGTTTAATAAATGGGATGGTTCATTGGGGGAGCAAAAGGTGAATCTAACAAGTTCTTTTAGTTGTCGCTTGCTTTTACTCTGCATTCACAACAGGATTACATAGTGTTCTGTTATTGCAGTTTGTTCACTGTATTGTATGGGCAAAGGACTTACTTTTTGCAAAGCTTTTTGGGGACAAAAATCAGGAAAATGATCTGAATGTACGTTCTAGTGATGCATCTGGTTCATCTGAACCTGCAGAAGATGTGTTTGAACACAAAAAGGATGAAGATGTTGAGGAGTATGGGAGGAGAATTTATGATCATGTTTTTGGTCATAATATTGAAGTTGCTTTGTCTAATGAAGATACGTGGAAAAAACGGAACAAGCCGAGGCCTATATATATCAAGGATGTAGCACTTGCTGAGGTGATTCAACAAAATGGAAATTTAGATAAAGTTCCGGTGTCTACTGATCCATTGTCAGTATCTGCAATGACAACTATTGGTCTGAAAAATCCCCAAGATGTATGGAGCCTGGCAGAAAATTCAAGAGTCTTTCTTGAGGCATTAAAACTGTTCTTCTTGAAAAGGGGAAAGGTTGGAAATATTATGTTGCCACGATGTTTTTGGGAAATTTTGTTCTTGTTTTTGTAATTTTTGGTCAAGCTTGAGTATTTTGCTCATTATCCTCTCTTTTTGTCCATTTAGGAGATCGGAAACTTAAGTTTCGATAAGGATGATCAGTTGGCTGTAGAAATTGTTACTGCTGCTGCAAATATTCGTGCGTCTTCTTTTGGGATACCTTTGCATAGCCTTTTCGAAGCAAAAGGTATTGCTGGGAATATTGTGCATGCAGTTGCAACAACTAATGCTGTTATTGCTGGGTTGATTGTGATTGAGGCAATTAAAGTGTTGCAAGATGATGTCAAGAATTACAGGTGGAGTGAATTCCTTGCCAGTACTTTTCAGTCTCTTTTTGTTTGAATTTGCATTTGAGGCTTGTGTCTCATGTTGCTAATTCATGCCAGCCCAACTCTCCCACCCATCTTCGCTCCCCTTGTGGCTACCAAAAAAGAAAAAGAAAAGTAAGAAGTGTGTTAAACAGTTTGACAAAATATCCAGGTTCTTTGATGTTGCTTCCTGCACCTTGCTCATCTTTCTCTAGAGCTAGTTAAAGCCTAGTCTTGCAGTTTTATGAATTTTAGACACAGTATAATATCTTAGACAGTATTTGCGTCTCAAAATTATGAAAAAGCATATTCCATATTGTCAAATTGGGAGAAAAATGACCCATCACTCATTATGCATATTCCAGGCTTTAATGGCTCAATTTTCTAAAGCCTACCAGTAATAGAGCCTATGATACCTTTCTTTCTGTTATCTTTCTTTGGCTTCATTGTCTCCCTCCTATGATTCCTATTTTCTGCTCTTGCTGAAGTATTATCTTTTGAGTTGTAGCTAGTAATTTTGAATTATAACATGCACTTGTGCAGGATGACATATTGTCTTGAACATCCTTCAAGAAAGATGCTTCTCATGCCAGTGGAGCCATTTGAGCCCAACAAATCATGCTATGTTTGTTCTGAGGTTTGTGAAATGTCCTTTTCTGAACTTAGACACTTGTTTTTACTTGGTTGGAAAACCCTTTCTGATGTAAAGCAAGAAATATGCACCAGACACCTTTGACGCTCGAGATTAATACAAGTCGCTCAAAGTTGAGGGACTTTGTTGAAAAGATTGTTAAGGCTAAGCTTGGCATGAGTCAGCCAATGATCATGCATGGACACGCCCTTCTTTATGAGGTTGGTGATGGTCTTGAGGAAGATATGGCTACCACTTATGCAGCAAACCTTGAGAAGGTATCCCATTTTTCTACTGGTTTTACATGTCATATTACTTTGTGAATGTTCATCCTGTATGTTGATTTTTCCTTATGGTGCTCGTGTCACTTTATAGGTGCTAGCACAACTCCCTTCACCTGTCACTGGTGGTACAGTAATCATGGTTGAGGACCTTCAACAAGAATTGACATGCACAATCAATATCAAGCACAGGTTTGTTTCAGTTCCTTTGTTTGTCTTGAATTCGTCCTTTCCCACTGCTTTCCTGCAGGGTTGAAGAATTTGATGGACGTAAATGGTGATATGCTTATTTCTTTATTTTGTAACCTTATACTGGTTATGTGAAGCTATCTATATTCTTATGTCTGGTTCTTTTTTACGGAAAATGAATTTATATCAATTTGATATTTTTCTGGAACTTTTAGTTGAAATTATTGCTTTACCTTGTTTAATAATTTTAGTTGTACTGTTTTGCGTGTCCGGGATTGTTGGTCATTAAACTGTAAGCTTTTTATGATGTTTCTGGAAAGCAACACTTTGCTTAATATGTACAGAGAATGAAGCAGACAATTAAACTAAAAATTTTTGAATTTTTGGTGACTAATTACTGCAAGATGAAGGTCTTGTTGGACAATGATTGTGTTTAGTTCTTGCTTATGCAAATGAAGAATACATGGGACATTACGTCTAAATGTGCAAGCAGTGCACGATCTGTCACGGACAGGACGTGGCACCTGTTATCAAAGGAAAATTCTTTTACCCTTTTGTGTCATTTGGGGGGTGGAGGAGGATTAAGACTATTTTGGTGCTAGTTAGTACAAGACCAACAGTAGGCATGTAGCATTTGAAAAATTAGATCTCCTTTGGATGTTGCTTTTTTAACCGTAGATTATGTGCCTGCTAGGACATAGACCTAGATGTGTCAGTACAAAAATTTGATACTACAGGGACATTAGCAAGTGGAGAGCAAATTGTAAATGTACTGATAAAAATAGCGGATACCATTTGCACTGTATTTGCACTGTCAGTCATATGCAGATGTCCAGTTTCATTTGGCTTGTGCATTTCATGGTTGACTAGGATCAGGGAATGTAGATTTCAAATCATTGTTGTTCCATGAAAATTGGATGAAATATTCTAATGGGGCCTAATATTTGAGTTTACCTGCCTTGAGAAAGAATCAGATATTAAGCTTTTTCTTTCCATTTTCTCCATTTGTGTGTAAACTTTTACACACTGGCTCGTATCTTAGTCTATCTTTGTTGCTTCTGGTGATTCAGTGTTTATGCCAATATTGAACTATACTTTTTTTTTTTTTTTTTCTAGCGAGTCGTGATACCAAAATGTGGGCTTCAATTTTACAATTTCCTGCATGAATCTCTTATTCTTACTAGGTTCTGATGCTGAGAAGTTTTTCATGAAATGTTATTGATGTCTAAATATTTGCAGAGAGGAGTTTGATGGGGAAAAGGAACCTGATGGAATGATTTTATCTGGATTGACCGAAGCACTTGTTCAGAAGAATGACGAGGCATCAAAAGAAAATGGTGCAAGTACATCTAATGTGTCGCAAACTGTTTCTGTGGAGGCTGAAGAAGATGATGAACTACAAATACTTCCAGCAGTTAGTGGTCTTGCCGGGAAGAAAAGAAAGTTGCCTGACAATGCTAATTCTTCCAATTCAGATCTTTCCGGTGTCATTGATGAGACTAAAATCCCAAGAAAAGCAATTGATCGTGAAGATAGTGAGGCTGTTGTTGTGCTTGATGGGAACGGGGAAAGGAAGAAAAAGAGGGGGCAATAGTCATCTCCAAACTTGTTCCAGTGGCATGTTTTTGCATTACTTGATAGTACCATATAGTGAACTGTAATTCATTTGGTGCTGTAACTCTAGAACTTCCATTGTTAGTTTTAGAACGTCAAATTTTGACCTGAGCTGCGCAATACTGTGCAATTGACTCTGTAATCTTAAGCATCGAGACATCCAAATTCTAACTTAACCTATTGGGCTTTTTTCTGAATGTTACAGATACCAGAGTAATTGTCTTCAGTTCAGCCTCTAAAGAAAATTGTCGGTGGTCCTGCTTACGGTCTATATATTATTTTTCTTATGTTCACGGTATTGATTTGGGCTTCTAATGTGTGATACAGATGTAACGGTAGTAATCAAGTTTTCCTCGAGAAAAGATCAAATAAAATGGAGTGTGAAGATACATTTCAAGCCTAATGTCTTGTTTCTGACGTTAGATTGAATGAAAAGCTGCAAAAGCAGCACTCTCTCTGGGATTCTATGTCGTGAGAGAAGGTGAGAGTGAGGAGTGGTGGGGTTATTTGTCGAAAAATATTGAAGCAAATCAGAGAAGGAAAAGACAAAGCAACAACCAGGCACGATTTATCCTGATATATCAGGGTACAGGTTTAGCATGTAGTTGTGTACCCATGTTCCATGCAGTCATTGGACATGTAAAGGAGCTGCAAAACAAAGGGATGGGTATATGTTACATTAATCCTTTATAGACAATAAACGGTCAAGCCACCAGAGCTACAGGTGGGAGCTAGCTTTAGTATATATTGTACGATGAATAATGACCTTAGTCTTCGTTTTCATTTATCGACCGTTGAGAGCAGCAAATTGAGCAAACATTGCCGTTCCTGAGTGCTCATCAATGGCTTGGACTTGGGCAGGGTTTTGACTTTGCTCGGGTGAAGCAATAGGTCTGCTATCAGAGGCCGGAGCTGGAGCTGGAGCTGGAGCAGGAGCAGGAGCAGGAGCTGGGGCAACCACAGCAGGAGAGTCTGCAACTGCCCTGTTTTCTTCCTCAGCTTTTCCTTGCGATGAGGCCTCTTGCAGCTGCAATGCATATTCCAAGTTCCACAGGACATCGCCCATAGTGGGCCTATCCACACCATATTCTGCCAAGCATTTCTCTGCAGCTTCACCAAATTTCTTCATCGACTCGGGATTAATGTGGTTAGCAAGTGTTGGATCAATGATCTTGTCTAGCAAGCCCTTTCGCTTCCATTGCATGGCCCATTCTGCCAGGTTCACTTGTTCTCTTGGCAATGCCGGGTTAATGGCAGGGCGGGCACACAAGGCCTCCAACAATACCACACCAAACGAGTACACATCTGATTTGTCCGTGAGCTGCTGCTTCCTGAAGTACTCAGGATCAAGGTAGCCAAAGCTTCCTTTCACAGCAGTGCTAACATGAGTCTGTTCTGTTGTAGGTGCATCTTTTGATAGCCCAAAATCAGCCATCTTAGCAACAAAAGCATCATCGAGCAAAATGTTGGTGGTTTTGACATCACGATGGATGATCCCTGTAGCTGCACCAGTATGGAGGTAATGAAGCCCACGAGCAGCACCAATGCATATCTCAAGCCTCTGCTTCCAAGATAGAGATGGTAAGTTCTTTCCATACAAATGGTCCCTGAAAGGCCCGTTTAACATGTACTCGTAGACCAATATCATCTCTGAGTTCTCATCGCAGTATCCGATCAAAGACACCAAATGGCGATGTCTAAGCTTGGACAACATCTGGATTTCTGTCTGGAACTCGTGAATACCCTGTTCAGAATGTGGGTTACCTCTCTTCACAGCAACTTTGGTTCCATCGTCAATCTCCGCCAGATAGACATTCCCAAAGCCACCAACACCAATAATTGCACTAGGATCCCAATTATTGGTAGCATCCTGCAGTTCCGCAAAGGAGAAATATCGACCTAATCCCATTGTCGAGGAATAGAATTGACTCTTACGAGACCCCAATGACGTCTTGCTCGACATAAAGCTTGCATCTCCAGCATGAAGCGGAAGCAACCAGGATGAAAAGCTATTCCTTTTCTGCCAATCTTGAGGCCTCTTTTGCCACTTGACTGCCATTGCACCCAAACCTACAAATGCTCCAAACATCATTGCAAACCCAACTGCAGCTACGGTGCCACGGTTTGGACCACTGTCCTTTTGGCCATCGACGCCATATTCCCCATCCAGACTCCCAACAGAGTTATTCATTCTCAAGACTTCGAGACCATTAAGAATAGCATTTTTAGATCCAGTGTCCTGATTCATTGGACCAATCTGAACAGTGAGCGGATTGGACAGGATGGAAGCATTCACAACGAAGTCCTTGTAATAAGCCGATGCCAAACCGTTTGCTACTGTTGACAAATCTAACCCCGAAATTCCCATCTTCCCATTGATGTACACGTTAAAGTAGAGATCATTGGGTGATTTGCTCACTATATCGCAGAAATGCAAGCGAACAAGGTAGGAGTAGGAAGTATCAATTTCCAGGCTCCAACTCACGTTAAAATTTGGGGCGGCAACGCCTGCATCCGACGACATTTCCATAGCAGATGCATAAACTGAAGGTGGAGCGATTAAGGGGGACTCTCCGTCGGGATAAGTGATTACACTGGGTGCAACAGACACACTCTTGCCTGCAGCAGGCGGCTTCAAATAGGGTTCATCATTTAACCATGTTCGTCCGAGGGTATCATTCTGTGAAGTGATGAGGGGACCTCCGACATTGAGCCTATAAATAATCTGGTAAGCCATTTGGGATAGCCCAGAGAATTGCTGCACGGGGAATAAGTTTGAGCCAACATCTCCAATCAACATGTCCGGGGCAGAAACAAGTTCGATGGCATTAATGAAAGCGGCAGAACCTTTCTCGGGGATGAATTTGATTTCGAAACGCTCCGTGGTAACATTAACCAGATACTCTCTGGCAACAGGACTCGTGGTGTCATTGACGTGATAATCGTACACAAGAACGTATTGATCCGTAACAACCTTGAACTTTGCCTGTTGCAAATTAAATTGATTATTAGCCAGCGGGAAGAAATGAAGACGGATCCAATGCCAACCTGCTCTAGCAATTTGAAACGTGTATGTAGCTTCATCTACGAATATCCTGGCTGATAGATAGATGGGAAGAGAAACATTATCAGCAGACGGCACGGAGACTTGGATGTCACGTCCCTTGGAGGACAGTAAATTTCCCGTTTCTTGATCAGGTAAAAAAATCCTTCTATCAGGAAGGGTACTTCTGGAGGAGGCACCACAATCTATAAGATAGTTGTCTTGTGGGGTGAAGGAACCAGGTTTTGCAGCTGCACCAGGGGTGGCTTGAGCTGAGACATCAACAGGGTTAGCAAGAAAGAGGTAGAAAAGTACCAAGAGGACAGCCATGGTTGAGGAAAAAGGCAGCGATGGAGGTAACAAGCATGGGAATTTGGGTTTTCCCCCGGGCATTGTTTCCATCTCGAACCTCCCTCCTTAGGAGGATGAAACGAGATGTGGAATTACTAAGGACGAGAGAAAAAAAAGGGGTTTACTTACTGTGTAAAGAAAAAAAAAAAGGCCATTGTTCTTTTCAATATTTCTTCTTTTTTTTTTTTTTCCTTTTTGTGTGGATAAGTGGTCGGAGTCAATTTTATTGCTTGAATTCTATTTTTGGTTTGCCAATATTTTCGGCCATGGATGTAAGGTGGGAAGATCAGTAATTGAATTTCTGTTATGAATGTAGGCGCCTAGACCAACCTTGTAACTTCAGCCATAGATCCTCGGTCAAAACTCAAAACGCCCTTTCTTTCTTAGCAGTAGCAGTAATTTCTTTTGCTTTTCTGTTGTCTTTATTTATTGTGTTCTCATATGCGCTATTCTTCTCTTTTCCTTGGGGACTCGTTTTGAGCTTTTCAATTAAGCTGTATTCATGATTTGACAAATTTCCATGTTTTCAACTACAACTTACAACTAAGAGCCACCATATTTAAACAATACAGAACTCCATGTACTGCATTTCATTTTGGTTGTAAGTGTTTTCTTTTTGCTTTAACTTCAGTTTAACTTTTTCCCCCACATCCAAGCTCCTTTCATGCGTTGCACAAAAATTCATTATTTACTTGCATTACGAACATAATTTTTAACATATTGTTTAAATCTATTTAATTATATTTTTATTTCACATATATAATATCAAAAAAAATATTTCAAATAATTTCAGATCCAAACGCTCTTTTAACAGTTTTGTGAAGATAGCCTACTAAAAGAAATTACCTGCAGTGACCAATATTATATATATATATATATATATCTATAATATATATATATTATATATATGTTAAAAATATTATATATTTTCCAATATATATATATATTGGAAAATGTTAGTCTCACTGATTAACGCTTTCCGCGAGCTACGCGTTGGATCGCTTTATCAATGGAGCGCACAGCTCTGCTGTGGCTGAAAACATTTTCCAATGCAATACTTAAAAACCATGCATCACGCATGCAGCACGTGTTATAGAAAAGTTCATTCATTCTTTTTTTTTTTTTTTGCACTGAAAATTATGACACTGTCCATGTACCAAGGCTAAAGTTACATTTACTTTCCAAGAAGATATGTCACCGGGGAAGGGTAGATTTGTGATTTAACGGCTCACCCACTCTCTGATTTCTAACTTTTAAACATAATCAGGGAATGTGCCTTGTGCTTTTAGGAGTCGAACACCATAATATTCAAATTTGTTTAATTATTTTAATGATTTTAAAATTTTGTTCAAATTTATTTTATTTATTTGCTGAATCAAATTCAAACGAATTTTTCATTATTGAATTTAAGAGTTATTGTACATAAAATACTATTCAAACGTGACTTTTGACTGGTTGAAGAATTAAAATTCAAACGAACTCTTATCAAGCCTCAAATCAAGTATTGAATAATTTGGTTCATCTTTTAATCCTCCAAACATTTACAAAGAAATCCATAAAGATTTTGTAACTTTTAGTACTCGATTAATTTGAAAAATTGTGGCAGGCATTTGCAAAGAAATTCATAAAATCTTGCAACTTTTAGTATTATTAATAATTGTTTAAAAAAAGGGACTACTATCAATTTGAAAAATTGTGGCAGGGCGCGAAAAAATAATAAATAATAAAAAAAACTTGTTGGGCCAGATCAGAAATCCACTGCGGCTGCAGAATTGCAAATATTTAACGCAGCACTTGTTGGCCCATCCTGCCTTAAGGCCCAAAGTCTGTCATTTTTTCCACAGACAATTGCTCTGCTATAAATCCAACCGTTCAAGTGCCTCTCTCCTTAAATTTTGTTTTCTTTCTTCTCTGTGTGAAATCAGAACCTTGCTTGGTCGGCAAGTCGAGAGAAGTAAAGTATCCAGATCACCCAAACAATAATCCGATGTCAGGTGAAACCGAAGATGCCGTCCGGCGCAAGACGGCCAGCGCCGAGTACCGGAAGAAATTGCTCCAACACAAGGAGCTAGAATCCCGAGTTCGAACAGGTAACGTCTCAAAACCCTATTCCTCTCTTATGTTCTTAATAATTCTATTCCAATTCCAAGGGATTTAGTTATTAATCACTAGACCTACCTCACTTCGGCTTTTGGTACGAATTTCTGGAATGCAAATATATTTGGATCTTCTTGACTGTTTTTGAAGGTCTGGACCTAGATTTATACTTATTTCTAGTAAATTAGCATTTGTTCTGACATTTGGAGATATTATTTATTGGTTTCCTTTTATAAGATAGGTTATGTCTTTATTAATTGCCTATGCCGTAATCTTTTCAACTAGAAAACTATCAGATTAGAGTTACAAACTAGTTTTCGGTGATACTCAGAGGGTGAAGTTGGGATTTGAAGTGATATTTATTCGTATGAAGCTAGGAGGGAATTGAAGAGATGATTTTAAGAGCTAACTGGGTTTGGGATGGATATTTACTTTTATTTTCATAATTTTGCCATTGCCGAATTAAGAAAGATTAGGGCTTAACGTTTTAGTTGAAGTTCTTGTTTATTTAGTATTTTGATCGTTATCTTCAGTGACTGCAAGTATTCTGATCGACTTGGCTTAAATGTCTATTGCTTCGTGTGCTTTCTTGTATAGCCACGAAAGCTATCCACATATTGTTGCAGTTGGATATTTGAGTTCTTACACATTAATAGTTCTTATGGACCAGATAGTTCATAGTTGCTTCTCACTTTTTCTCATTATAAATGTGTTTCTTTCTATGAAGTTTGTGTGTGTAAGATTACATATTTGATTTTTTGCTCCAGTGACTGTCGTCAGATCTTGAATATGAATGGCTGCTTTATGAATAATTATTTCTTTTAGAACCATTTATTGTGGTTGTTTTGCATCATTCCCAGCTCATGATCTTGTACTTTTTTTCTGTGCAAGTGTCGACACCCTTTGCTTCATCCATGTTTATATAGAATCTATTTGTCTGGCATATATGTACATCTATGCTATTTGGCAATTAAAATTCTTTTGATTAGCTTTGAATTCTTGTTTCCTACTGTGTTTTAAAACTGGACACTACGTTGTATATCGGTATTTGCAGTGAGGGAGAATTTGCGTACTACAAAAAAGGAATATGCTAAAACAGAAGATGATTTGAAGTCACTCCAAAGTGTTGGACAGATCATAGGGGAGGTGCTTAGACCGCTGGACAATGAGCGCTGTTAGTACTCTTCCTTCTATCTTATTAACTTTCTTTTGCTGTTATATTAACAGCATTAGTCAGCCAATCTGTTGCTTACTGTTCTTGAACATTAGCCTAAGAGATTGAGATTCTTTGGCATACTTATGTAGGATAAGGTGCTAGAGTTCTGTTAGGAGTCTGTATGATTGATGGTTTAATAGTGAAAACTTGCTTGTTAACTAGCCACTTTGACCATCATTTCTCATCTATCCAAGTTAATTTTGTGTGGGAGTATTTCCTACTTAAACATGCCTTTTACTTATTTTTTTGGTTTGTGAAGGAATTTGATGATGTTTGAGGAATTAATTCATGCCATATTACTTTTGCAGTGATTGTTAAAGCTAGTAGTGGCCCAAGGTATGTAGTGGGCTGTCGCAATAAAGTGGACAAGGAAAAACTAACTGCAGGAACCAGAGTTGTACTTGATATGACAACACTCACGATAATGCGGGCACTTCCTCGTGAAGTAAATTTCACCACATTAAAGGATTGAATTTTTGTTTTGTTGGTTGTACTTCAAGAATTGAAATGTGCTGTGGTTTGTGGTATATGGCAGGTTGATCCTGTTGTATACAATATGCTTCATGAAGATCCTGGCAATGTCAGCTACTCTGCAGTGGGTGGTCTTTCTGATCAGATTCGAGAGTTGAGAGAATCTATAGAATTACCTCTTATGAATCCTGAACTCTTTCTTAGAGTTGGTATTAAACCTCCTAAGGTAAGCGTAAGTGTTAAATATTCTTAGTTGTCTTCGGCATGTTAAATGAGGCCGCATATGTGCTGGTATCTGGCAGACCTCCTGGATTATGTTAATTTAAAGTGCACTTGATTTAGGGTGTTCTTCTTTATGGACCTCCTGGAACTGGGAAAACATTATTAGCCAGAGCAATTGCTAGCAACATAGACGCCAATTTCCTAAAGGTACTTCTTGTCTAAACTTGATCATTTTCTAGCTGTGGAAAAATGTTCTGGTCCATAGTTGATTGATATTATTTGTATTTATTGAACAGGTTGTTTCTAGTGCAATTATTGATAAATACATCGGTGAGAGTGCACGACTGATAAGGGAAATGTTTGGATACGCCCGTGATCACCAAGTAAGGCCTTAAAGCTCCTTGATTTTATACTTGTTATATCCTGCTCGATAGATATTTAGTTTTGCCAAAAGTATGTTCTTACATTTCCTTTTTTTTTTTTCCTTTATTCATTGAAGCCCTGTATTATATTTATGGATGAGATTGATGCTATTGGTGGGCGCCGTTTTAGCGAGGGAACAAGTGCTGACCGTGAAATCCAAAGAACACTGATGGAGTTGCTTAATCAGCTGGATGGTTTTGATCAGCTTGGAAAGGTTTTTGTGGAATGCTGATATTAAATGCTTGTTAGATATAAAGATTGATGTGTTCTTATTTGCAGAATACATATTCCTTTGTATGTTTTGGTGTCTGGATTGTAGTTCAAAGTAAATTGTTTCTGCAGGTTAAAATGATTATGGCAACAAACAGACCTGATGTTTTGGACCCGGCTCTTCTTCGTCCGGGACGGCTAGACAGGAAAATAGAAATACCATTGCCTAATGAACAGTCAAGGATGGAAATTCTCAAGATCCATGCTGCAGGAATTGCTAAACACGGTGAAATTGATTATGAGGCTGTTGTCAAGCTTGCTGAGGTAACAAGGATTTCTATGCTGCCTGCAATTGATTTTCCTAATATCAATCAAAGTCTTCAACCAGTTGCTATTTTGCAGGGTTTCAATGGGGCTGATCTTCGTAACATTTGCACAGAAGCTGGTATGTCAGCAATTCGTTCTGAGCGTGATTATGTCATCCATGAAGATTTCATGAAGGTAAAAGTCTCTTGCTTTGATGAACTCAGGTTGTTTACTGTATAATGCTTGGTACGGGTTTGAGATTGTGTTTATAGTTGCTTACATTTTGGATGATTTTTTGTAATTCCTTTTCCCAGGCTGTAAGAAAACTGAACGAAGCAAAGAAACTCGAATCAAGTGCGCACTACAGTGCTGATTTTGGAAAAGATTAAGGGCACACTGGCATGCTCACTTTTGTGTATCTCTGGCGCTCAGGTGGGTTATTCCTGTTGTGATCATACTGCCTGTTCTGTTCTCCGGTGGATGATTACCAAAACTTGGCTTTGTTTGTATGGTAGCACGGGCGGGAGCATATTTGTCAGTGGAATTGAAGCTTGTCCCTATTTGCATACCCATAATGTCGCCCTTTCAAACATTTTGGAAGAATTATTTGAGTAGATGTCATTTGTTCCGATTCCAACGATATAAATTTGTATTTCAGTCTCTGTTGTTCTTTTCTTTCTTTCTTTTTTTTTTTTCCCATTTTCCATCTAACGGTATTTCCCACCAGAGGTCCCCTGCTGCTGGTCGGCCACTCTGATTAAAAGGTGGAAACTTATTGGCTATGGTGGAAGAATATTGTTGAGCAATTGAAATCGAGTATTATTGTAGGTAAATAGGCTCTAGTAAAGAGTTAAAAAAACAAGGTTAAGAAACATACACCATTATGTTATGTGTGGGTATGATTTTTTATTTTTCTGGTAAAATTACGAGTAATCCACAATCTGAGGGTCTGTATAACACGTCATAGTTTGGCCACATTTGGCTAATAGATAGATTTGAGTAACATCAATGAGATTCCATGAAAATACAGTAGTGATCATTAGTATCGCATCTTTTTCGCTTAGTTGGTGACAAGCACGCGCTGATAATTGGCTTAGATTGCCTACATTGATGCATTGATAACTGGTTTAAAAAAAGATTGCCATTTGGCATGTGAAATTGACACAACTCACAATTTTTATTACTAATTGCACGGGGTACAAGAGGACGAACAAAAGCAGTTGGAAGTCATAGCCATATTGAGTCATTGATAGATACACGCTCAATTACTACTAATGCTCAGCGTCTGAGCATAATAAGGACGAGATCTAGAGTTATCCATCCTCCGTGATGTTTACCAATTGGCAGAAGGAAGCCCTGCGCGAACGGTAGATGATCGGTCCCCTACATGATCCGTCTTCAGGCCATAGCCATTGCAATGACCAAAGCCTTAGCCATCTTCTACCAATACAAAATACGTTAAAGAAATAAAACGGCCCCCCTTGGCAAATAGGGCCCTATTCCTGAAAGGAAGGGCGAGGGCGAACATAAGAGTTCATCTTAGTTAATTGCCAACAATTTTGCTGAAATGTGTATAACGCCACGTGCCTTGCACGTCTTACCTATCCTTTTCGCTCAGCATAAGTTAAGGCCATCGTAGTGCATCCAGAGCTTGCAGGTGTAGCTGCTTGTCCCCAGCTGCCACTACATTAAAACCTGCCAGTATATAACATGCGGCAATGTTGTTTAACAATTACGAGGTCACATCACATACTGCAACAAAAATCATAAATCAGATGTCTATCAAATCATACTTCCTGCATGAGAATCAGCAGATGCCTTCCAGTCAAGTTCACGTCCTTTCCAATCAGTTAGAATTCCACCGGCACCCTCTATCACCGGGATGAGTGAAAGAAAATCATAAGGCTGAGAAAAATTGTTTTAACTTTGTCAATTTAGTAGATGAATGAGATCTTTAAAGATGCCGAAACATCTCACCGGTAAATTCAATAGCAATTACACCAAGTGCGGAGAGAGTTTCACCTTAATGTCAAAGCAGGTATTCTAAATTCAATTACAAGAATAGAAACATCCATACTTCATTGGTGGTTCATAGAAGAAATCTTGCAGTAGAGAAAAACATGAAATAATAGTACAATTACCCTTAGGCCAGATTCGATCACGAGATCAACAAAACCAGTGGCTAATAGGGCATAGGCATAACAGTCGCAACCATATAAAGGAACTTTCACCTGCTCCAGAAAGGCATTCACATTAAATTTCACTATAAAGAGTTTAATCTCTGCATGACATGAAAATAAGATAAAAGGCAAACAAATAATGTAATTTTGTACTTATAAATACTTGGAGAACTCAATGTACTACTGCACAAGCAATTAAAAATATACATATTAGGTCTATATACACCTCAAAGCAATGGACACAGTTTTCTTTGGAGAGGAGTCACAAGATAAACTTTCCCAAGAGTATTGTAGTACAGTCCTCAATCATCACTTGATCCTAGATCTTTACTTTCTCTAAAAGAGAGACAGGACTACAAATACTCCAAGTTAGCTGTTGAAAGCAAGCATCTTTAACCTCAAATCAATTAGTACATAGTCTCCCATAATAAATCTGAAACAGATTAAGATCCTTAATGGCTTGTTATTATCTAAATCATACTGTGGCTTCTTCAATCGGAAATTGCTGTAGAGCAGATCCATGAACAATGGTTTTTCCAATATACGGCAAACTGCCTTACAAAGGAAGTGAAAGAGGATATCTATCAACTACAACAGAAGCACAACTCTAAGATGCTTGTAAGGAAATAAAGCATGTCCATCAAAAGAGCCTAAAAGCAATGCAAGGCAACAGTTTTAAGAACAAAAAATCTTCAAGAACACATGGAAGAAAAACAAAGATAAACATAAGCTGGATCGTTAACCATCTTCATGTGCTGCATCTTCATATAGTATGCTTGTGCATGTATACAACACACAGCAACCACCAGTAACCGATACCATGACAGTAGAGCAACATTCTCAAAACATTTATAGAAATTTATATGCATCTGTCTTTTTTTGTGCTTGTGCATGTATGCAATGCACAGCAACCACCCTTAACTGATACCATGACAGGTTACGCAACATTCTTAAACGTTTATAGAAATTTATACGCATCTATCTGAATGTTTCTTGGACATAGAGGATGAACCTTATCCCTGACTCGAGCAAAAGCCATCTCAGCATCTCCATTGAATAGATGTGGGCTGGTTGTGTACCTAAGACAGAATAATGGAAATATTAAAGACAGAAATTCAGGTCAATACCTATTTGTTTGCTGGAACAAATTAAAAAGTTTTGAAAGAACAATGGATGCAACACAAGGTAAGAGTGGAGAAATAGCATGATCGGATGCATAAAACCTACAGATAAGCTTGTGAGAGTTTTGCACAGCCACGTGTAGAAATATCTTGTCCATTTAAAGTAGTTTTCCTCCCATTTAATCCAACCCATCTCTCTCTCAAAATAGGCTGATCAATTATGCCAAGAACCTGAAAGAAAGAGAAGACGTCTATATTTTGTTGGTTATATTTTAACATGATTATCCTTCACAGTTCTCTTTAACATGATGGCTGCTTGGCACAATCTTAGGTGATTCAACTAAAAAAAAAAAAAAGAAGAAAGAATTTAGACAAATTTACACAGCAGTACAATCCAAAGTCAATAACTCAGGAAGTCCTAATGAACTAAGGTCATTGTAGATGTACAGGTATTTGGGCATTCTACAAGTAACAAAAGTCAGGTGTAAAGATAATATAGCTCACTATCTAAAAAGAGTAAACAAATGTATTGGCTGTCTTCATTCGCCCCATGTAAAATGATAGTTGTTTCAGGACTATATTCTGGTGTCCTGATGAGAAATTTCTTGCTCAACTATTTGTCTTGGATTCTACCCAGAAAATTTCCCCGAGAATGTACTTGCTTTGTAAGAGACGAGATACATGGCCATTGACCAAAGTATTTTTTGAGGTAATGGCATATTAACAAGTTACTGATGGACAAGATATTAACAGAGGTTAATAGCTCATCTCTCATACCGGTTTTCCTTGGTATAATAGAGCAATAAGAGTCCCAAATAATGGTTTTCCTGTATTGCAAGCAAAAAAATAATATGCTCAGTGAACTGAATTAGTTGAAAACAATAGTCAACAGTAAAAGGGGGAAAAGGAGCAGTACCTGTGATGAAGCTCTTTGTTCCATCAATTGGATCCAATACCCAAACATAGTCCGCAACTTTCTCCTTACACCTCCAACCCTTCTCTTCTCCATAACTGCAATTAGCATTTCATTACATAATTTTTGGGAATAACATTTTACAAGGCCTCGAACAACAACCATCAAAGATCCAAGTTGGTTGCCAAGGGTTATTTTGGTTAATTAAAATCAAGACATTGAGAACACCAAATACGATAAATTCCTCCTCCCTTTTTTTTAATGGGATATTCACTCGTGAAAAACCCAGAGATGATTATTTCACGAGAGAGCAAACACGACTATTTTGGGAAGGCAGGTTTTCCATCCAGTTTAAATACGGAACTTTATCCATTCATAATCAAAGTACCAGTCCAATTTCTAGTATGAACAAGGATAAAAAGTAAAACCATAAATCAACCGGCAATGTCCTACCAAACTAAGAGAACATACATTGCATGGAAAGGAAAGTTCTCTTGTATAATCCTGACCATTGCCTCTTCAGCTGCTTGATCAGCAATTGTAACAGGACCTAAAAGTATCACAAAAAACCTTCAAATCTTAACTGCCCGCTGCAAATAAAAAATTGCAGAGAATGATCAGGAGGAGAATACTACTGACTTAAATCCTCTTTATCGAGGATTTCGAAGCTCTTTCGGAAGTACTGGCGGATAACTTGGCCGGCGGCGTCGGCCAGCTGGTTAGCAACAGCTGCGAAGCGATCGAGCTGACAATCGTCGAGCCCTAACTCAACAGATTGAGCATTATTGGAAAGTGCAGACTTGGAAGACATCCTTGCGGAGGTGAGGACTTTGGATTGTAGAGAAGCTGAGAGTAGATTGGGAGGCGAACGAAAAATTGAAGAGAAGTTGGTGAGATTGTTGGAAGGAGAAAGGAAAGGAGAAGAGAAAGAAGGGAGAGAAGAGTTCCGATTCGGGTTAACAAGGAACCGAGGGTTGGAAAGCATTTGGAGCTGCATGTGAATAAGGGCTTTAAAGAGGCGGCAAAAAAAGGTTGAGAGAAATGGAGAAAGCTGATTTTATATATATATAATCGAGTTCGAACCGACTCGAAAACTAACGAATTTATTATTTTTGAACTCGAATTTGAGTTAGAGTTCACCTTGGTCAGACTGAACTCGCAAGTGACTCGATTCATTTGCAACCCTATACACGTGCAACGATTGATTTTCATGCTGCGTTTATTTTTAGGACAAGCTAAATAGTAAAACGGTGGGAGCTCTGATTGGACTATTGGGTAATGGATTCAATAAAGACACAAAATCGGCTTTACAGCAGTGTTTGATTGGGCCTTCCTATTTCGGCACGCGAAACGATTGTTTTACATACTGCTTTTATTTTTAAGATGATCCGAATACAAGTAAAATTTAAGAGCATAAAGCTCATATAAGAATAACAATAGAAACAAATTAACAATTATAACACTTTTTGTGATGTAATGTATATAAGATAAAAAAATGATTATAAAATAAAATATAATTAAAAAATATGTTTATAATACAATCAAATAATTTTTTACAAATAAAATCGCATCCAAACAAACCCCTTATGTAAAGCAAATTGGTAAATATATATGGCAAAAGCAACTATGAACATTCCAAATACTAGTAATTTGGGCGGCATGATCAGTAGAGTGATTAACTAGGTAGTTAATAGGTATAGAATCAGGGAGAGGAAGGGCTGTTAGAGTTTTAAATTTTGTGCTTATATGTGGAGAGTGGGAAGAGTGTGGGAGGATGGGAAAGTAAAAAAATTTTGAAAAAAGGATTAGGGGTAATTTAAGAAATAGAATACGGTAGGAGTATTTGAGGAAAAATATTAATCCATGTATTTGGAATGTTTGAGTCACTAAAATATACAGCTATATTCCACCCCACAAATTACTTTACATAATGTTTTACTTATTGTGGATGATGTGAAAAAGTAAGGGCGTGCACAAATTTGGTTAATAGAATTTAATTAAAATTGATGAATTGATTTCATCATTTCAATTCGGCTTTGGTTAAAGTTGAATTCTAAAACTATTATTTGATTTCAAAGGAATTTTGGGTTTTCGATTTTGGTTTTTAACAAAAAAACTGAATTTTAAAATTTCCTTTTCTTACTTATTACACACATATATACATATTATAGGTAAATGCACACATATTATACATACAGAATATATATATAATAGATATATTATGTGTTATGTGTATATATATATATATGTATCTATCTATCTATCTATCTATGTACGTATACCTATGTTATTGTGAACACTTTATGGTCTCATCACCTTTTCTAAGTTCTAATTACAATCAAAATACGGTTAACATGAGTACAGGTTACTCCAATTTGAGTTTCGGTTAACCAAAATAAAATGCACGCTTATAACCGAATTTCAAATCGACGAAATCGATCTACCGATTTCAATTGGGTGAATATAAAATTGACTTTGATTTATGTCAGAAAAACAAGAACCTTTTTTAATCACTGATCAACTGTCTGATTCTCACCCTAAGATAAAATAGATGGCAAATATTTATACGTGGCGCGTGTAGTTATTACCTTTGAAGAACGATTTATTTTTTGAAGAAGGATACATTATGGGTTAGTTAGAAGTAGAGGTGAGGGTGCCACGTGGATCAGCGGAATCGAATCCGATGGGACTTTTACCAGAAGAATCGGTCGGGAATCCAGAAAAAGGTCCGACCCTTTTATATCCGGATTTCACGACCAGTTTCTTTTTTCTTCGAAACAAAGCATAAGCATATCCTCTGTCGGATCCGGTGGATCCCACCTAAATCCAGTAACTGCGGAATAACAGCCGGGCACAAACTCAGAAATTAGAATCCATCATTGGAGTGGCTGCCAATCAGAATCCATATCCGTCAATGGCCAACTTACCCGTGATCCCATTTAGATGCCGCCACTCCAAAAATTTGAGCACCCTTGTCCTTTATATCGCCGACATATCATCACTCCCAGAGAGCGTATCGGCAGTCTACACCTGGAAAATATGACTGGATTCCGGTGCTCAATTCACTGGACAGTAAGGCCCAGTTTAGACTACTATCTTTTTTAAGTTTTTATAAAAAATGTGCTGTAATGATTTTGGTGTACATGATATAAAAACGGTGATTGAAAAATACGTAAGAATTTTTTGAAAGAAAATTGTAATTCAAACACCATTTAAATTTAGGTTATTTTGGTGAGAGTTTTCTTCTCTTCTAGACTATTCTGGTGAGAGTTTTGTTTAGTTTTTATTTGTTTGTTATTTATTTTTTCAGATCTAAGAATTTCTTCAGATCTATATGTTAGATTTAAAATTTATTAGATCTTCTCATCATATCTTCATATCAGTTTTGATATTGAACCAGTTGGATAGCAGATCTGAAGGAATATACATGCACCGATATATATATATATATATATATGTGTGTGTGTGTGTGGAGCTGTTCGTTCAATTGGTCAGATTTGATGATTAGTGATTCATAGTATAATTTTATATATTTTGTAACTTCGTTAAATCATATGATTTTTTAAATCAAATATATCTGTGACATATTCAATATATTTTCTGCCATTAGTGCATATTACTTTGTCAAACAAATTGTGCCGAACGATTTCCAGCGAAATGATTAATAATATTGATTTATGTTTTATCAAAAAAATAAGGCTCAACTATAGTAATTCAATTCATTTCTACTTTTTTTTAAGGATCGTTTCATTTTAATATCTATAGTAATAGCACCAACCACAAGATAGATAGATTTGAAAATTAACTGATATAATAAACCTAAAAGTATAATAAATTTGATTATATTTTCGAAACTCCAAGAGTATTTTCCATAACATGAATGTCGTTGCAAGTCTAACGAAATAGATCTAACTTCCAAAATTAATTTATGAGATCCACCAAATTTCTAGTATTACCCACAAAAAATGACAGAAAAAACTTTTACAAAAATATTCTAAGAGAGAAAACTCCTACTAAAAAAAACCTACGAAGAAGAAGAATTCTCAATATGAAACATTATGAGAGAACAATCTCTTATTAAGAAACTATAGGACAGAAATTATTTGAATAATAGAAATAAATCTAGGAAAAGGCGCTGCTCCTAGAGGGAAAATTTTATGTGGTCTCTCTCTCATAGGATAAGTTTTAGATGAAAGTAAGAGAGAATGTCCCTTCAATTTTATTTTGATTTTCAGTTCTATATAGATCATGTGCTATATTTGATGTACTTACTACCATTAGTACATATATATGAATTAAATCATCCTTTTTACCAAAAATAAAAATTCCGGTTCGGATAACCAATATTTGCACATTATTTTAAAAAAACATATTTTCCAATCATCTTTCATCCTATCATAAAAAGAATTACAATCAAAATTCTTTATAAAAGACAGCACAATCAATTGAACAACATATTTTTCCAAGATATATTCTAATACCCCTCTACCCGTTTATTTCTTTTATATATTTTTATGTTTTGTTCTTCATTCTAGTTATTGAGTGATACGAATTAAACTTATTTCACCATAAATTGTGACAAAGGAAGATGAAAAGGAATATTCCGCTCAATATATATTTTTGCCATTTTAATTTTAACAAGTTATATTTGACAGTGGAACTTTTTTTTTTTTATCTCAAACAACCTCAAGGATCAGGAGAAAATAGATCTCACAAATTAGTCATGAGAAAAGGATGAACTATAATTGTGTGAAAGTCCAACACAGACATTTATATTGGAAATTTGACTAGCGTACGGTGAGATTCAATTTAGAAACATTTAAGAAATCGTGGCTATGTAATTTATTCTCACTCTCAATTTTCATCCTATTTATGCAATACTTATGAAATAAACGGTAATGAATACTCTTTTAAACATTTAACATCATTTGACCAAGCACCGTGACAATTTCAACAGACTATGATAAGAATAAACTCACAATTTGATTAAGATAAATTATGCGTTCATTAATAAAAATTCTTTTCAATTTAATAGACAAAATTTTACCTAAACAATGTTTTTTTTTAACTTAAAAAACCTTAACCACTGTGACAATTGCATTGTGTGACGACCAATTTAGGTTTGTTTTGGCAAAAAGGTTTATATGATCAGGGCTGAGGCAAGGCAAAGCCAACTTAATTGAATTTCATGTGACGTGCTCAGACCAAATAGAGAAAAATCCAAGCGAAGCGCGTCGAATTCAATGAGTCAACAAGTCAAACTCCGCATGCGTTTACGGGTAAACGAAGGATGCCTCCTTCAGTCTGGTCTTCTGCAGCATGCACATGTACCACTTTGATTTTGGGACCTGCGATTAGTGTGACCCTTACCTCTGTCTTTTTCTGTCCAATCTTCCTGTCTTACAATTGATTATCCGAAAGTCCAAATTTACCTGCTTTTTGCTGAAATCGTTTCCTTCCGTCCAACCAATGGCAACAATCCTTATAACCCTCAATGCTTGGAAGCATGAATAACGTGGGAGACCCGAATTGAGATAAAATAAGGCCTTGTTTGCCATTTGAGTTTTTTGCCAAGTTTATTTGTTACAAGCTTTTTAAAAACTTTAGTTACAGTAATTTCAAAAAATTTTTAAAAATTTTTAAATTATACACTTCAAAATATTCAAAAATTTTTTAAAAAACTTCTACAATAAACTGCAGTAAAATTTTAGACAAACATCCAAAAAACTCACTTGTCAAAATGGGCCTAATATCGTACCATGGCGATATTATAGATTTTGGCAAGTGAGTTTTAATGCCATGGCGATAGCAAAATTACCCTTGTTAATTGAAATTAAATACCATCACCAATTGACTTAGGATAGGTGATTTCTCATTTTGGTAAAAAATTATATGGCATTATATTGTCACCATTTAAAGTATGGTCCCTAAGTATTTTGCATTGTGGACTGTTTAAGAGACTGGACTATATTAGAGGTGCAAAAAAATCAAATCGATCCCAAACAGTGCTATACTCGAGTCTACTTGCTATAGCACAACTCGTGATTGAATTT